AAGTGTGGAATATACTGTCTGTGAGCTATGACTGGAAGAGGGCTAGCTCCAGGGAGGACACTAGTTCCATGCTCAGGATCGTATTTCTGCCCACCATGACTGGTTGTACAAGTTGTATTCCAGGAAATTGAATATTATGGAAAAAAAAAAAATTACTCAAATAACAAAATGTTACTGATTGTTATTATTGCACTGATTTATATTTATTTATTTATTATTATTATTATTGCTTACTTATAGAGATGATATGGAGTCTGTGTAGGGAAAACAGTGTATTTCCATCTGGATAAAGCAAATCAGTTTGACAAATATAGATATTGGAAAATTGCAAAAAAAGCTGCTTATGCAGAGAGAGAATAACATTGCAAAGGGGAGTCTTGTCACTGCACATGAGTATTTGTGTATAGCCAGCCTACAAGCTGCACACTTGACAGAGTTCCGCTCATGTAAGCCTGATGCCCGCATTTTGGGCCATATGATGTCAGTGAAGCAACAGGATCAAATAGTTTAGGTTAAAAAGAAATAAAGTGTATCTTGGTTTCATTATTTCTTTCATTTGTTACTGTGAATGACAGCATTCCACTATGTTGCTAAATGTGTGTTTGCCTCACTTCACATATTAATAAGATGGGTGCTGTATGCAGGCCATCCTTCCCCAGATACCTCCAGACCCTTTGAACTGACCTGAGCTCCCTCTGTTTCCACGCACCTGTCCCCACCTGCCCCACCATGTTGCTACTCTCAGCATGTTCCTTTCATTCAACTCTATAGAAGTAGGTATGAATGAGAATGAGTGACTTCATAGCACAAGAAATGGATTTGATATGTGATTGTATTATCATCAGATATATGTAAAATGCATTTATTTCTAATGAAGATGTTGTCAAAATTTGTCAGATACATCTCTTTGTGTTGTGCTTGTGCATTCTTAACCATTCTTTGTTTGACGTTAGTCACAGTGAACTCTAATCCTCTGCCTTTTCAGAACTGAAGATGAAATCCAGGTGGATGTTAAAACAGTTGTCCCATCTTTCCATAAACCTGTTTTGTGGATAGTGTCTCCCTACCTATGTTCCTGTGAAATGTTTGATGAAAAGGGAATCTTTGTGTGTATGCATTATATCTTCTACTGATGATGTAGACGAGATACTCAATCCTTCTACTTTCTGTAATAATATTTTTGAGGCCATGTCCATTTAATTGAATATATTTCCTTAGAGAGGAGAAAAAGTTGAAGTGAATTGGCATATCTGATATTTTTACCTTTAAGTATTGTATTGAGTTGATGATATCACTGTATGATAAATGGAAGCAAAATTGTTTTTATGGTTATACATTTTTGCAAAATTGGGAAGAAAAAAAGTGCGAATGAGAATGCAAAATTGATCCTTAATGTCAGTTTTACATTAATGTTAATTTTAAATGATTAGTTAACAGGTAATTATTGAAGTTGCGTGTTATATTTTACAGAGTATTACTGTAACTCCTTATATCCATCAGTTCTCTGTTAAGGTCATAGTGGTTAGCTAGAGTTTCCCCTTGATATGTTGTGTCTGTGTACTTGATGGCTGTTTGGTCCTAAGAGATCTTTCGCCTTAAGCCAGAGCACAGGTTATTGGTCCAGGGAGAATTCTAGTAAACGTTTCTGATTTCTGTGTACTCCTTTAGGGATATATTCTTCCCAGTCCTTTACCTGTTGTTGTTGCGGGGGGCTTAGGAGATAGAGACTGGGACCCAGTGCTGTGGATTACCCCTGCCTTGGCTGTCAGCCCTCAACTTGACTAATTTTTGCATTGTCTTTTCGTCTTTCACCTTTTGCCTTTCCAGTTCTTTCTCTTCTCTTACCCCTTCTATCCACTTCCTAAAGTTTGAGAGCCGTGTTGAAAGGATGAAAGGCTGACTTTGTGCCCATCATGAATGGCCTGGGGGAGCCATGGGCACAGTATTCCCCTGCTTAGTTGTCTAACCCCTCAAGGGGACCCTGAGGGGTTGACTGTTTCTCTCCCCAACATAGTCAAGGCTTATCATAGCTGGTAATGAGGACTTTGCACCTTTATTAGGGGCATTAAGGCTTGCCCCTTTAGTAAACCCTTGGATCCAGTTGCATCACGGCAATCATATGGACAAAAATACAGGCATTAGGTTACGTAAGTGGCCACTTGGCTGGGCGTGTAGCTAAGCACACTTGTGTGCAGTGAAAAGACTCTGTTATTTTGCATAAACTTAATTTTAAAATTATTTTCCAATGCCTATATATATATATATTTTAAGATTTTCTTTATCCAGATGGTAAATAATGGCATGTTGGAGTCACCTGGCTCGCAGCCATTTTATCCCATGATGGCATATTCGCGTCACCCGGCCCTCAACCCAAATTTTTCCATGATGGGATGGTCACATCACCAGATCAAAGGGGTTAACTAGCCCACAGATTTAAATTCTCATGATCCTCAATCAGTCGAGGAAATATTTCTCTTCTCTCACCAACCTCTCCCGATCCTCCGACTCCACTCTCTCTTATAACCATGACTTTGAACACATCTACTGTTGCCCCCCTCACCCCCTCAATGATTACTATCACCTCAGTCCAGAAAATATTCCTCTTCTCTCACTGTCCTCTACTTAACCTCCAGCCCCACAGCTTTCTTCATCTACTAACCCCACGCTTCCCTTATTACCACTTTGCAGCCTTATTGTCCACTCTATAGTATCACCTCTCTTAACACTACTCCTTTTACACATCCCCTCTTTCTACCATTCTCACTTCTACAAACCTTTTGAATACTGTGTTTAGCCCAGCCAAAATGGATTGACTTTTTCTGATCCCCTCTAGAGCCCCTTACTCTGATAACACTTCCACAGCTGCTCTGATTGTTCCTGCTTTGGCACAGTTACATCTGAATCCCAAGCTAAAGCATTATCACCTCTAACTGACTTCACTGGCACACCCATTCCTGCCCAGCTTCTTCCCTCCCTCAATATCTGTCTCCATCTCCCTGACAAACTGCCCTGTCTGTGACAAAGATTGGTCAGATTGTGGAGAAGACCTACTCGTCTGGACTGTGATGCAGTATCAGTAAATTGCTACACTATTCCCCCTAGAGGTCATTGTAAGACCACCAATATTGCTGAGATTACTTTCATTAGACATGACCTAACCCTTAATGTTTATATTAGGGGAAGAGTCCCTCCCAGTCTGACCATAACAACTGTCCAACAAACCAGAAATTCTCAAAGACATTCAAAACTATCAAATGATACCCATGATAACATACCTACACCTTATCCATCCTCCAATCTCCTCCTTTTACTCTCAAAGTAACTGCAGACATCCATCCTCCTCCTACTTATGTTCCCCAACAACCCTTCCTCCCACTCCCGCCCAACACATTCCATTGCCGTGTGCTTCAGCTACATCATCCTCCCTTCCTTCTCTGTTATCCCTTCTAAATTCCCCCTGGATGCACATGTGACCCTTTGTCACAACAACCTCCTTATCTGGATTCTCTCCCACCTGACATTTTTCTTGAAACTGTGAATTAATCACTCTTAATCCTTTATCTCCTTTTGCTAATCCCTACCTTATTGTACAGACATCCTTGCAGAATCCCAAACTTGTTCCTATAACAACCTCAATTGAATCACCCTCATTCATACCTACTTTCTTGAACTACTATACAACTTCTGATGTATAGCACATTTAATCATTAACTAATTCCCCTCTTTATCCTTTTTGCTATAAAACCTTTCTATAGTGCTCTATGACCTTTGATGTGTATCACATTAATTTTGCTCTATAACCATTAACTATAAGGGATATATATTGTACAGCAAGATTAGCTGGATTCATTAGGGATCCAGACTTTCATTTGTCTTCTTTTCTTTTCTTTTTTCCAACTTTATCTTAAAATTAAAATGGTTGAGAACAGAAATTCCTTACACAAACATATCTTTGTTTACAGCTTCGAGCACACCTAGGAGAACCCATCTACCACAGAGAAGGTGAGACAGTGGAAGAACTAGCCCAGCGGATCAGAGCAAGCTTGAACAGCCTGATTCAGAGGAAACAGAAGCTTCCAGGAAACATACTAAGGGCTCTGCTAGCGAGGTTTTACGAACCTACGAAGAATGAATAGTTGCGATTGGGGGTAAATTTGTTGTGTGTTTGAAGAGAATAGTATTTATGGGAGAGCAATCATTACATTGTTGTTAAGAATTAATATGTTTTGTGTGCATTTCATTAATGTAGCAGACTATGATTCTGTGATATTGCTGGCTCTGTTCATTCCAGTCATTTTGTTGATGATTACAAGATAATATATTCTATTCCATGGTTAAAATACAATATTTTAAAGTCTATTTTGTATTTAATTTAACTAAAATAATAACAAGTAAAGAAAATATAGTGAGTGCATTTTGTCCTCCTCTCCTCTCCACTTTCTTTATCTGATTCTTTCTCCCTCGCCTTCTGCCTTTTCCTTTCCCATTCCTGCTGCCTCTCTCTCCCTCTCCTCCCCACTCCTTCTCCATGTCTCCCTTCTTTTCCCCTTTCCCTCCCATTTCCATATCCATCCCCATCTCCCTTGCTCTCTCTCCTTTCTGCTGCCTGTATTACATGTCTTGACATAATAAACGAGAATTAGTTTCAGTGATAAGACTAAAGTTAAGATGAATGATTGATAAAGTAAACAATATTCATTCAATAAATTTTGTTGCTTGATCTTTAACTGAGTTATTTAATCACAATTTGGAAATTTCTGTTTAACAATTCTAATAATTGTGAGATTTTTTCCTAGGCATGGAAAGAAAGACAAAATATATATATATAAATAGGATTTTTTATTTTTTTATATAGATGTTAGATATATAAATATACAAGATATAGGCATCATTCAGCCAGTGAGTGTGTGTATGGTTAAGCACTGAAACAAGAACAAAAGTTTGGCTTTCCTATCTGTCGCAAATCTGTTCCTCGGCTTTGAATAAAGAGGCTTATAAGATGCAGTGGCTCATTTAACACCCATTGATGAAGCTTTTTTCTGATATTGATGTTTTGCAAAGGTGAGTGCATAGCAAAACTTAAATGTGTGTCGGAATGCCAAGAGTCAGTAGGCAGTGTCAAATAATTGAGCGCATTTTTGTTCAGATTCATGGATGTGTGTTAGAGTGCCATCAGTATGTTTGCAGTTGCATCTTTAACACGGTGTCAGCTAATGAATGCATTAATACTAAGACAAATGTATGTGTCAGTCCCATCAATAAGGCACTAATCAGTAATTTTTGGCAGTGATAGCTGGTGAGAAAATTATGTATGTGTCACCCATTAGTAGGCAGTAATATCTCTGTCTAATATCAAGAAACTTAAATAACTAAAATGAATGTGATGTCAGAAATTCGATATCTGATGAATGGTATTTCACTTCATTTGCAGAGAGTGCTTATGCATAGAATTAATAGAGATGTAAGATGTATGATTCTTTTATGTGTAAAAAAACGAATGCAACTTGCATTGTCTATACAAGCTTTTCCTGTCCCTAATACTACTGTTTAGATTTATATTTACAAAGCAGGATTGTCATGGAATCCATTTGGTACCAATTCTACTGGAAGATCAGACACAATGCGTCTCAGTACTCGCTATTCTGGTAATAGATTAACAAAACTTTGGGAGTGCTAATGATTATGAAACTTATATGAGTCTGAACTATTGCCTACTTCTAAGAAGAAAATACAGCCAAACAAATTTTAATCTGGGTTCAGAAATTTTGCCCAAAGGATCGTACTCTTGGGTATAGCTTACTCCTGTAGTAAAGTACAAGGTCTAACAGTCAACAACAAGGCTTTTCTCTGGGCAATCTCATCTGCTTGTGAATTTATTAGGTTATCTGTACTATCATCTGACAAGGGGTAAGGCTGAAGTATGATTCTTAGAGAATGGGAAAGTTTCTTATTCCGACGGCTTGCTGGTGTTGAACCAGCCTTGGTTCCAGGGTCACCACCTGCTAGTCAGCTTCTTGTTTTGGTTACATCATTGTTGCTCTTAGCCAGGATAGGTGAGTTAAGGCAGTTTTCAGAATATTTTAGTGACATTCTAAAAGAATAGTAATGTTCCATGTATCCAAGATGGTCATAAAGTATAGAGCCTCATTGCCCACAAAAAAGAGTAGGATCTGGCTCCCCAAATTCCCCAGAGAGCATGCCTAGTCCTTGCCAAAAGAGTGACAATCCCCGACTCCAGTCTGTTTCCAGAGTCACAAGGCTAGTGGAACTCCAGCCGAAAAGACTTTACAGATCACCACTAAGGAAGAATAATCTGTTTAATTAAGGAATAAGGCTACCACATGGGAAGTAGAATATAGGTTAATTGATAAAAACCTTATATTCTTTAAGATCACCAGAGAGGGAGCAAGATATTACCTCCTAATTAACAAAAAACCTTCATATACTCGAGATCTGTTTGCTAATTCACTATGGCACTGTGAAAAAATAAATAACTGAAAGTTGACACAGATATAAGCAAAGTCCAGATGAAATTGTTGATCAATATCCACCTCACCAGTACTTGGGCCATGTGGAAGAAAATAATGTCACGGTGCGCTGTTTATCGCGATATAACTCCGGAAGTGCTGTTTACTTACTTTTGGATGCAACAGATCACCTTCTTATCTATTTTTATGAAAGATCTGTAGCAACATGGCAGATATATAGCCTCTGACATGTTTCAGAAAACCTATCACATGAAAGAATTCAAAATTTGGGTTTCAACAACCTGCAATGAATAATCTTACAGAGCAAGGGTCTACCAGGATAGGAGAATTTGGCTTCCTCGGTGTTTTGCCATCAATGTATTCCAGCTTGGAATTAAGGCAGGTACATATTTTGGATGATTTTTCTCTAACACCTATTAGTGTCTGGCAAGATTGTTCTAGACATTAGTGAAATATGAAGACTCATTGGCGTAAGTGGACAAGATCTTCGTACTTTATATTACTCACAGATAGCAAACAAGATTCTTCACACAACTCTCTAATGACTGACGTCGACTCTCATCTATCCGTCAGATATCTACATGTTGAAACCATCATGAAATATACCAAGAATGTAGTTAATGTATTATATTTTGGTCATTTTGCTACCAGCTGATTATGTGGAGTTGCGGAAATCAGTTCCTATATTCTATTTTCACCATAAGCCATTCTTGAAAATTCATATGACTATATAAAAATACATGGAAATACATAATGATGTATGTTTTAATTAGTATGCTTAAATCATGTAAAGAAAACGGAAAAAAACAATGAAAGAGAGAGAGGGAGAGGGAAAAAGAGAGAGAGGGAGAGGGAAAGAGAGTGAGAGAGAGGGGGAAGAGAGAGGAGAGGGAGAGGAGAGGGAGAGAAAGAGAGAGGGAGAGGGAAAGAGAAGAGAGAGAGGGAGAGAGGAGAGAGGGGAGAGAGGAGAGAGAGAGAGAGAGAGAGAGAGAGAGGAGAGAGAGAGAGAGAGAGAGGAGAGAGAGAGAGAGAGAGAGAGAGAGAGAGAGAGAGAGAGAGAGAGAGAGAGAGAGAGAGAGAGAGAGAGAGAGAGAGAGAGAGAGAGAGAGAGAGATGAGGCATGACAAGCCACATGGAAAACTGCATTAATTTATTGCAAAAAAGAAAGAAAAAGTGCGAAATATTTATTAGACATCGCTTCGAATAAGGTAATATCTCTATAAAAGTTAAGAGCTGTTAAGTAAAAAAAAGACACAAAAAAAGAAAGAAAGAAAAAGAAAACATATTAAGCATACACTGAAAATTCTATTGCATTTGAAAGTATTTATTCCACTAAATAAGTGTTTACGGGGAAAAAAGCTAATACTAAACAATGGTAAGTTGTCAGTGAATATCACCGCTGTCTGTTTACGATCGTAATTATAGTTACTGGTGATTTTGCCATCGTAAGTAAGATAGAATATTTATAATGATATAAGATTGTAATAGATTTAAGTTGCAATATGATTATACAATATACATATAAGTTGCAATACAATTTTATATTATGTATTATCTACGAGAAATATTAGAAAAAAAAACCACAAAAAACAGAAAGGGTGTATCAGAAAACTGATTTACAATAAAATGTTCCCAGAAAGATACTGGAGGAGGCCTTATCAGTTATCTGAGCTGCGTTAAGGAAATGTAAAATAACACTGGATGATATTTCAAGATAGCAGAACCAATCCAAATCTCTCTCTCTTTATAAATATATATGTATACATATATCATATATATATACATATATATACAGTTTTTCTTATAATTTGGGCCTATGTTTACCAAAATTGCATGGACAATATTCTTGCTCGCTTAATTTAAATTTGCTTTTCTCTTCCATGGCGTTGTTGTGATATGTACTTGCCATCAGTTTAATCATAACTGATATTAAAACACACCAAAAACTATGCTTAAATATTATTTTTGGACGAGATACTGCTTGAAAACATCGTCTTTCCTGAAGGTACCAGTTGGGTTACCAGTGCTCCGACCACTGGTAAAATTTAGAGAATTTTACGTTTTTTTTTTTTTTTTTTTTTGTTACCACCGCTGTCTGTTTACGATCGTAATTGTAGTTACTGGTGATTTTGCCATCGTAAGTAATTTATAATGATATAAGGCTGTAATAGATATAAGTTGCACAATGATTATACAATATACACATAAGTTGCAATATGATTATACAATATACATGTAAGTTGCAATATGATTATACAATATACATATAAGTTGCAATACAATTTTATATTATATATATAGAGCGAGGAATATTTGAAAAAATAAAATAAAAAGGGTGTATCAGAAAAATGATTTACAATAAAATGTGTTTTCACTAACAACTTACCACCAGAGTTACCATTTAAATTTCACCAGTGGTCGGCGGACTGGTAAGCCAGCTGGTAACTTCAGGAAAGACGATGTTATCAAGCGGTATCTCATCCAGAAATTAATATTTAAGCATAGTTTTTTGGTGTGTTTTAATATCCGTTATGATTAAAATGATGGCAAATACATATCAAGACAACGTCAAGGCATAGAAAAGCAAATTTCACATAAAACGAGCAAGAATAATGTCCATGGAAATTCTCGTAAACATAGGCCTATATTAATTATAAACTGTATAAAGAATCGATAGATCTGTAAACTCCTAAAGCATTCTTTTTCTCCAACATCATTATTTAAGGTCAAAAGGAGAACAAACTAATGACGCCTAAATTGGCAATAGCAACGTTAAACGAGTATAGGCAAAGGACAACAAACTCCAGAGTAGGGCAAGAATGAGGGGATTATTTCCTTTGACGATTAATGGCGTTGAATAAAATATGTTTGGTTTGGTTCATTTTTTGACAGCGAAGAGAAATGTGAATGAATAAATACAAATTGTGTTTGGATTGGTTCTTTGGTTGACGGCTAAGAATATGACAGTGTTTGTACTAGTTCTTATTTATACGATAAATAGCCATGGAGGTCTTTAATCCCACATGATGGGTATAATTAAGCAAATTCTCATTCCTTTACTAGAGCCCTCTGCTGGTTCCCATCAGAACAAGTCGATTTATGATCGTAACTCAGGGTTGCTAGTTAGCATATCTTTATGAATCCCATATTACCATCCGGAGACGGATTCACTAACACACAATTGTAATGCATTTACCAGCACACAGTTACCACTGCATTTATCATAGATGGTAAAGTAGGATTCACGAAAAAATTTTCTTTTCTCGCCTTGACAGAATTACAATCGTAAACTGACTTGTTCTAATTTCATATACAAAACACATACATCTCCCCCCCCCCTTAAAGAAAAAAAAAATAATTGCTTGGTATGATAAATACATAATAACTGAACATTATGAAAAAGAATATATTCTTCATTTCACGTTTTCAGTAGTATTTTGTACCTCATATGATAAAAAAAGGGCCCTGTTGGCGCGAGGTCCCTTCAGGTGCGGGGCCCAGTTTGATCAAAT